ACAAAGAGAAAGAGGACGAATGTCTGAATATGAAAAGGTATTTATATGCTGATGAGATCGCAGACTAATAGAGAAAAAATAATGATAAAAAATTTATTAATTAATTTTATTTTTTTTTTTTATATAACACATTTCAAAGCTTTAACCGGTCAAGTGCGTATGATGCGTATGCGCTTCAATCCATACTCTTTTTGGTGCAATTAACGTACATACACATCGTGCGGAATAATTATCCGAATCGAAAAACAAACTCAAAATTTCAGTAAAACGCAATACATATCGCATTTAGTAGATGTTTTCTTCACAACACCGGTAAGCCTGTCATAAATTAAACAAATCAATAAGTTGTACTCGGCTGGGGGTGAATCTGGCTTACCCACCACCATTAAATTCTCTGACGACCCATGCTTTCTTATGTATTGTCAGAAGCAATCGAATGGGAAAAAAGTTATCTTTCACCTCTTACTTCATTAAGAGGGGTTGGTAAGAAAAATTCATCTACTACGTAGTGACACTTTACTATATGGCTTTTCGCATTCTACTCTCGGAATCTTTTTCTTTTATACCCATATCGCTGGTATTATAAAGAAAAAATTAACCCACTAGGTTGTGGTGCTCTCCTGCTCTGTTTATTTTGGAATTAATGCATTTTTAGGCAGATAATCTATCTTCATTTAAAAAATGTACGAAATAATTTTTCACTTTCCGTCTTATGTAACTGATAATTAATCAAAGCATAAAACCTCAAAACCTCTGGGGGCTTGCACTTCGACCAGGTTGGCCCATTTTCAATACCAATTTGTGTGCAATATATCTCACAAATTTGATGTCAATATCTATTCTTGGGGTCGGAAGTATGTCAAAAACACCACAAAGATAGCTTAATCGGTTCAGGATTTCACGCTGATCAAGAATATATATGCTTTATAAAGTATCTGAAGGCTTCCTTTCGGTTCTGCACACATGACAAAATGAGTATACGTCCCATCCTTCAGTGGTGTGTACGGAAGAAGAAAAAAAATCGTTTACATTTTTTGGTAGCGAAATTATTCCTCGTTTTCATTGATGCAAATGAGATCGCACAAACGAGCCATATACAAGAACAGATCTTTTTCTTTGTACACTTCTAGCTTTCGCATGTTTTTCATGGCGTAAACATGCAACGTTTATTAAACAAACTATTTTGATGTATGCGATAGGCATATAACAAGCTATAGATCAAAACCGATAAATACATCTCAAGCCTGTAATTACTTTTATACTTGATCGAAGAGAGAAATTATCTAGAACGAGTTTCAAAGGACAATTGCTTTAACTCATTTTTTTCATTGACCGCCTTATTTCGATTTTCTTCAATCATAAACTTATTGAACAGAAATATTCATTTTTTATTCGCATAAAATGCTTTTCTATGCAAATAGAAATAAAAATTATTATTTGGTAATGAAGACACTGAAATGATTAAAAAAACCACTGCTTTTTTCTTCAGGAAACAAGTTAAATTATTCAAATTACTAATGACCAACAAATAAGAAAAGAAAATGTTTTCCGTGTTATATAATAACGCCTTTGTTATTTTAAACAAAGCGTATATTGCTTCCGTACTTGGACTTTTAGTTTATAAAATAAACTTACCTTTCATCAAACAGGTGCCTGGCACTACTACTGGAAGCTGACGCCATCTAGTTGTGACGAAATGTTAGTAAAACAGTTTTTTGACAACGAAGAAAACAAGAAAAATAAGGCACTATATTATTACTATTCATGTGGTTATGATTTTCATTATTTATTATATTGATAACATTATTATTATTATTAATATTATCATTAATTTGGGAGAAAGGAAGGAAGAGAGGAAGAAGGGGAAACTTTAATTTTCCCCGTGAAAAGCGACAATTTCGGTCGCAAGCCTAGCATTTAGTGAGGGAGTTTGGACATAAACCATGCAAAATATAAAAATTGTAATCGACCATATTTACTTACTTTCAAAATAACGGCTTTTTTTCTACAAAATCTATGCGGGTTGGCAGTACTCTTTTTAACAAATTTTTACCTAATTCTCTGCTTTGATATATATTTGAATTCAGCTCTTTTATGACGCGAAGATTCTAAATTTTATTTTCTCCACACAATGAAAAATCAAATTTCATACATGTATTTACATGAAGTTTAATACAAAAGCTTCTATTACTCGCACCAGCTACATGTATATCAAAAGAGAATATCAAACAGTGACGAAGATTACAAGCAACACTAACGCACAATAAATTTGGATTAAATGTTTAACATAACACTTAAATTTATTACGAACTCTACGACTTTATTCACATCTTTCACTACTGAACCTGTTCATACACATTGTTAATCAAGTACAGACACGCTAGCAGAGAGTTATATTTATTAAATAAATATCAATGAAATTCTTAGAAATTGAATTCCTTGCAAATTTAATGCACTCACTGATCAGCTGTTAAAATAATCAGATGTTAAGTCAACGTTAAGTCAACTCTTCTTCTTGCGTTTAGCTCGAAGATTCAGCACTAAGCGAATGATAGCCCTAACCGTAAATTTAATTCGATAACAGAAAAAGGCGAACGTTTTTTATGAAATCTTGTTTTTATGTAAATTTTAATACAAAATGTTTCTATATGTGTAAAAGAATTTACAATTATTTTCAAGTAAAAAATTATGAATGAATATTTTTACAAAAAATACAAAATAAATCTAACCTCACTGGTGTTTCACTCGGTTTACGTTCTAAGAAAACTTTTCATCTCTTTTTTTTTTTTTTTAATACTTAATCATTTTTTTTTCCAGGCTCAAGTTTTATTAAGCTTTGATTATTTCTACTTTACGATTGACTTGGGTTAAAGCGGTTTCTTCTTGTGGTACTTGATAACCAATTTTCGGTAAATATTGCTGTTTCTTGGAGGAAGGTCTTACCAATATATGGGCTAAACATGTACAAATGGCAACAAGAGAGAAGTACTTAAAACTTCTCCGACCGCCAAAAGTCTTAAAGGCTAAACCTCCCAGTAAAGAACCAATACTGAAGCCCAAGCCATCGTCCATGCCTGCCATCAAGCCCTGTACAGTGGCAGAGGTTCCTGGTGGTGCTACCGCCGAAGCATAAGCCACTATGCAGGTATAGCATAAAGCGTAAGTGCATCCTTGGAAAAATAATTCGACCAAAACCAAATACCTGGGAAGGAAAAAAAAAAATAAAAAATTTGGTTTTAAATAATATTAATGCAAGGATACACAATATATTCTTCTTTTTCTTTATGACTTCTTTTAATTGATTGATAAAATTTTTGTTTAGTAAAACATGTTAATGAAGTTTCAATGCTAGAGGTTTGCTTTTATGCAAGAGTTGTATCGTCGAGAGAATCTTAAATATATTTAATAGTGCTTACCAAGGGTTAGGTATCCATGAGATCAAAAATAAGCGTACTGCATAAAAGAAAAAACACATGCTCATACAGTGCACGTAGCCCAATTTCTTAATGATTTTGCCGCTGTAAAAGAAGAATGGCACTTCGCCTGCCAAACATTCGGCCGCGACTACACAGCCTTCTATCAGTTTAATTTGATGCATATAACCTGTAGCAGCTGCCACCTCCTCCAAGTGCCAAAACATGAAGTAAATTATAAATGAATCAATTATTCCCGCTATTGTGGCAAAAACCAGAAACACTGCTATCGCTGGATGTGTAATCAAATTCCATACGTCGTTAAATATCGATTCCGATGAGGACAACTTTGGTAATTTGAGTCGGCAAACACTTAACAAATCCAAACTGCTAAATATTAGCATAATGATTAAAGCGGGCGTAAAACTTTTCACCTCATCCACGGTCCAAAAATCTACAAACCATCCTGCTATTAAAGCGGCCATACCAAAGCCTATCGTACCCCAAACACGTTGTGCTCCGTACTTTGTTTCTTCCGTCTCACCCAGCATATCAAAACATATTGCGTCCGATATGGAATTGGTTACATTAAAACCTATGGTACCTGCGCACATGAATAGAACAAACAGCCAAAATGTCGTTGTGCCGTATATGCAATTTCCTTGCAGATTGGCCGAAAATTTACAAACGCTTTCAAAATTTTTTAAATCATCGGGTAAAATGGATGCGTTGGATAGACAAACGTGCAAAGGTAAACGATCTTTTATATAGTTAACAGGCAGATCCAAGTCAGATATAAAAGGATTTGAGGAATCAGTGAAGTAGGCTTCGTAAATGCGACTAATGTTGTTGTAACTAGTAATACACTCTGCGCGATATGTAGTTTTGCAAAGCAAAGAAGCATTGTTGACCAGCTGAAAAAGAGGAAAGAAATTTGTGTATTTTAATAACAGCGTTTGATTTATGAAAAGCCTAAAAAGAACTTGCAATTTTGTAAATATCAATGCAAAATTTCTTCTTTCGAACTTCAGGACACTAAAAACGCATGATATTGTTTACAATGCATGTAAAAAATATCTCGAAAAACTAAATGTAGCGTAAGAGGAGTAATTGTACCACTGTTCTGATAAATGCCCTATGGATATCGTTTGTAATTCATAAAAAATATCTAGAAGAACTAAGAAGAACTAAGTGTAGAATAGGAGGAATAATTGCACTATCGCTTTAACGCCTGCCCGTGTGCAATGAGAGAAAAGGAAAACAAGAGCGCAGAATAATTTTATTAACAAGAAAAAGGACTATTTGCTTACCTTCTATCTGCCGAAATCGCAATAATAGGGTCGGTCCACAATAAGGAAAAATAAAAACGATGATATTCCCCAGAGTAAAACTTCAATAACTCGGAAAATTTTCTTCATTAAAATCACATATTACACTTTAAGAACTGCTTGAAAGTCGCAAAGCGCTTCAAAACCGTTTGAAAATGTGATTTCAATAACAATAACCGCAGGTACGATGACACTCCATTTCATTCTATATATTCTATTTCATTCTATAACACTCTTGAAATGCATATTTTAAAAGTTGCTCTGTTCCTACAATTTGATGGTCTATACATACTGAGAACGAGGTGTATACAGATTGGGTCTGCGAAGCTTTTAGCTTCCTTGTGATTTATCTCTTCATTTATTTTTCGAATAAATCAACTAAATAACGCGCTAATTAAATTACTTCTCGGAGCATTACTTTCACTATCTCTAACTTAATTGTATTTAATCAGGCAAATAAATGTATAAAAAATAATAATATAACTTTTTAATATAATTACCTGCTCTTTGCAGTCTAGTATTAACGGACGATTTAGAGTCACATTCCAAACATCATCAAGACTAATAGGAGCATTATGAATTTGGGGTATAAAATAGAAAGCAGCATATGCCAGAGTCATAGCAAAAATCAATCCAATAAATATCAATTTACGAAGTTTCTGTAAATGTAAAAATTCACCAAGCAGTTCTACTAAACATAAACAAAAACGCGAAAACATACCGTAAAGTAATCGGCAACAAAACCAAATAATGGTTTCGCTATAACATACATAATGGGTAGAACGGAGGTAATGTAGCCCATAACCTCAGGAGCAATGCCAATTTGTTTACCTAACACCGACAATTGAGGCAAAATCGGACCCATAGCTGCAATAAAATTCTTCAAATATTACACACATACACAACACAATCACAAATTATGTATATGAAAACTTACCCGCCATAAAAAATAGAAAATGTGCCTTAATCGGCAATAGCCGTTTATTAATTTTGACCATCTTTATCAAGGAGATAAAAGTTTTTCAATCTGTCTGGCTATCGCGTTTCTTTCAGAAAATTATTGTTAGTACATCATTGCACATATATTTGTTTTTTTTTTTTTTTTATTATTATTATTATTAAATGATTTATTTGGCATTTATGCTTTTGTCTAAGAAATTATCATTTCTCCTTTACTTCCGTAACTTTGCCAGATTATTATTTCACTGGAACATCTCCGATAGGCAACTGAGTTCACGTTAAGCTTACTTCATATACATCATATCATTTAGCCGGTCAAAAGATAGGCAAGCAGGCAGGCAGGCAGACAGCAGAAAAATGTACACAATCGTCATAATAATGTAAAAACTTTTAATCTCAAATTTTTTTTTTTTTTTTTTTTTAATTATCGTTGATAAGCATTGTGTTTCTTCATGTATTTCACTTTTCAGCAATGTAGAATATGATTAATAATAGTGCCTTTCGTCCAGATGATGAAAGGGGCTTTCAATTCTCTAATGTGTGTGTATGTATGCGGTTTATTGTTTTAAGACTGCGAAAATGTATATAATTCTATAATAAGTAAATTAAAAAATTTTAAATAAATTTATTGTTAATAACGAAAGATGCAATTGTATTAACTATCGAATATCTTTAGAAACCGCATAAGGTGCAATGTGTTTTTTATTATTAGGTCTAATAAAATATAGTTTACCATAAAATGCACACTCTCAAGAGATTGTGAAATAATTTAATCATTCCGTCCGTCCGTTCGTCCGCCTACCATCGATTTTTCTATAAAATGCTTACAAATGAGGAAAAACTGATCTGTGTTTTTACTTCGAAATTTATGCGTAAAACAATTTTGAAAAATAACAGTTTGACGCCAATATAATTAGAGCCGTATTACGATTAAATATGAAACCATTTATCGATTGTATGAAAGACTTTTTCATGCATTATATTAACTGAGAAGTATCCAAAATTCGTCTCAAGCCAGCCAAGTGCAAGTCCCTTCTCAAAACAAATTACAAAAAATGGAATAAAATTAGTATAAAGTTTTTGTTCTAATCTCTGTGAGAGTAAACATTTATTAAAACCGTAAATAGATAAAATATATTTTACTGTTTTAAGATGTTTTTTTTTTTTATTATAAATGACACAACGAAGGCGAACAATCAAGCGAACTATTGTAAAATGATACAATTGTTCAAGTTTGTAAGATAATCTCATAACCGCCAGACAATGTGTAGAATAATTAAAACAATAATAATTTTGTTATTAAGATAAAGGAAAGCGAGATCGATGATTTACACTGTTTGTTGATGCCAATCAACTTTACCGTCAATCACATCGACAATATTTCATTCCCATTATTGTATTTTAAATCATGCCTCAATAACTATGAGTTTGCTTTATTTCTGTTCCTATATGTTTATATATGTCTATGTATTCATCGTCATAAAGAAGAGTATGAATGCTAGGAGGAGAAAAATGGATTGGTAGTTAAAAATATGTACTACATCGTACTTGCCCAATATTCGAGAACCTACAGGCAACTTTTGAACATAAAACTCTTAGGGAGGCTCGGACAATAGAGCATCGCCCACATTCCCCAGGCCTGGGGGAAACATTTAAATTATATATAAATTTCATAGAAGGCGGGATAAGTTTAGCTTATATATGTTTATATATATATATATATATATACATAGATGACATAACATAAATGGAACATATCTTGCAAACGTGGGAGTATAAACGAAGCTTTGTCGTGCCAACCCTGCTTTAGGACCTGCTTTGATAATCTCAACAAAATTTCCACATTTGAATACACAGTTTATGGATATGTTTGGGAATCGCCTCTCCCTACTGCAAATATCTAAGAGAAATTACTTGAATACAATCAACTTTCTCAGAATAATTGGTCTGATAAGATTCCCCATAAAAAGTTGAAAAATTTTTCCTCTCTTCAATGCCCAAAGTACATATTAAAGGTTTGCTAGTTCGTTTACTAGATTCCAATGAGGAAATCTTCATCCCTTGGTCCCTTCGTTCAAGTTCATATATCTGTTTGTTTAGTTCTATTCATATATCTGTTTGTTTCTATCGTCATAAAATTTGAGATAAAAACCGGCAACTTAACGCACGATAAATAAACAATAAATTGGCTTTGTTTACTCTTTTGTCATATGTCCGCTTATCTAAAGATTGCGGACAATTAGATTACAACACAAATTAATTTTCAAATTGAGAGCAATTGAGATTGAGGCATGAGATATGATTTGATGACTTGAGAAAAAAAAAAAAACAAAAATCTTCGTTTCGTGGCAAATCTTTGATAATCAGCCTCTTAGCTAAACACATTAAACTTACAGAGTGTTTTGTTCCTTACAAAAGCCACTTTTTGTACTGATCGTAGCAAATATTTATATAAAATATTTATATTTTCTCTCTTATCTGCTATAAGTTATAAATTGTGGCTCTTCGGTTATTGCGGGCGTTTATATATTGATCTCAATTACTATACCCTACACTGGTTGTGTTATTGTATAAGCGGACGTACGTGACACACAGAAGAATTTACGATAGGCCCATCTTTGATTATACCGACCGATTCAGAATTATCTTTTAAGCTTTTCTGTCCGTCTGTCCGCCTGATGTCTGCCCATGTATTTCAATCTACAGGTCTCAATTTGTGAAATATTCTGATGAAATTTTTGGGCCAATAACGAACGCTTTTGGAAATGTTTCTGATCGATGAAAAATTAGCGACAGAGACGCATCAACAAACTGTGCATACCTTTTCAGCATTATAACCGCGGTATCACATGTGATAAATTCTTTAAGATACATTACTTGAATCAAAGTTTATGGACAACATGTGACTGTGTAATGTCGGTTTCAAAAATTTCTGGACGCAAAAATGAAGCTATCGCCTTTCAAATTGGATGGAAACACTTGAACGTAGGTTGACGTTGAAAATGACTGGCATCGGTCAAAAGACACGTCTGTAGTGTAATATAAGCTAATTACACTTCCGCTTTCTGGATTTTTCGTCGTTATAAAATACAATAGACACACTATATAAATTTACATGGCTGTTCTGCAAAAATGGAAACTATCAGCCACGCCCACCAAATATTATGGAACACAAAAACGCAATTTTTTCTTTGATTTTTAGCCTTTGCTATGGCGCAGACGATAGATATGAAAGATATGAAAGCGGCCATAGCCAAATATTCTTTCTTTAATTGTTATAACTTACGCCATTTGTGATACGAGTGGAGACCTGTTTCAATATTGTCTACCCGTCATTCCGTCTTAATTTTTGTGCCTAATCTACAAATCACAATTTTTGGAGTATTTTGATAACAATTGATACACTGAGGTGCTGTGGGCCAAAGAAAGGAAATGCCTCGAATCGGACAACATTTTCGACCACTTCCCACATAAGACCTTATTTTGAAAAGTCGTCATACGGAAAACTGTAGGCTGGTATGGCACTTTGAAGGTGGACCATGGCTTGCAACGATGTTTTTATTTGCTTTATTTTTGAAGACTTGTTTATATATATATATATATATATATATATATATATATAACAACTTCTGTGGATAAATAAATGAATTTCAATTATAAACAACTTCCTGTCTAAGATACAGGATTATTTTCTGACCATGAGGCACACTATGATATGATTTGTCATAAAAACGTTGCAGCGATTAGATTGAAACAGAAATAGCAAATAATTGCAGCTGGCTTTAGGCTAATACATACTATAATTGGCATTTTTGAGCTTATTTGTGCGTGTGGACGATATCCGCTGTCAAACTTCCGTTAATAATATATATTCTTGATAACAGTCTTGCATTTAATTTTTGCGCACCTAAATATTTCCACAACATACAGCAAACAGACGGAGCAGAGCAATGACAGAAGGACATAAAAGTAGATCTCATTAATTGGTTCAGATTAAGATGTCTTCATGAGTGTTGCAAAAGACAAGAGAAGTTTACTATACCCTCATCGATCACTTGCTTCTAAGCAATTGATGCGCAAACAAATAAAATATCATTACGTATTATGTCAAATACGTGACAAATGAATAGCAACAATATGCTGAAGAAATCTTTCGTTGACGGAGATTTTCAAATAGCTACAAATTTTCTTAGAAAGTCTGATGTAATCTCAAGTCATTAACTTCGGTTTGGTTTTTACATTTTACTTTAACTCTTGACACTAGCGAAGATGTTAAATATACTCGGAGGTAATAATTTCATCCCACAAAAATATTGATACACTAATGTTGTTGTTACTACGATATTCAAAACTCGTTAATTTTTTTGTTTCCCATGCTCTCTCTTTACAACGGAAACAAGTGAAGAATAAGCACAGTTGACGACGGAAAGAAGGCTTCCAAATTTCTCAAAAGTGGAAACGTGTGTAAGGTTAACTAGCAATTAAAAATGCAACTCTGATTTTTATTTGAGAAACATTTTTCAAACCTAGAACAACCACTGTTTCTACTTTTCCATACAATTCTGCTTTTCTTTCACCAATAACATGAATAATCTTGGTAAATAAGATCATTGAGAATTTATGGCGTGGTTGGAGTAAGTCAACACTATCAGATGATTTTTGTGGCAAGTGCATTGAACTTTTGTCCCGACAAATCGAGTTTGTCCCGAAATGTGCGGCATGTTGCAGCACTTCGTTGAAAAAATATCGTCCACGTTGAAAGCATCCAATTTTTGTCGCGAAACTCTCTCTTCTCTTCTTCGTTAACTGCAAACCCGTTTTCTTGTTCAAAAATGTGACATTTTCAGTCCACAAATCACACCCAAAAGTTATTTCTGCTCACTGAAACGTCCTTCAAGAACATCAGATGTGGTTTGTTTACGCCAACGGGATCACAAGCCTTATTCACTCAATACCCACCGAACTTCCTTCGAAATGCGCGACCTGTAACATTATTTTCGTAACAAGTTTTAACAATTTCCATATGCTGTACAACTATATGTGTATTGTGTTCCATAAATAATGGCAAGGTTCAAACAATATGTTGAAGAATAATGTAATCCAAATGTCAATCAATAGTGTATTTTATTTCCACTTACTTTCAGAACCAGTGGATCGATTTTCATATAAATATATAATGAAAAGGATAAGTCATTTTCAATTAATGCAAAATGAAAACAATTGGTTTTAAACAAAGCTTAACACTTTTTTCGTCACTTCAAAACTTGTTGAGATATCAAGAAACGATAAAACAATTCTCCATTTCCATATGCTTACTTATCCGCCTAAGTGGCCAAGTGAGCAAGAAAATTTGGCTAACAACTGAATGCTCGTGGTTTCGAATCTGAAGTGCAGTCGAGTTTTTAATAAAACTGATAGCTTTAGATTGATTGCTAGCGCTTTAAGTCTTTGGTCTTAGAATTTATTTCACTGGCTAAATTAATATTAACAATAATATCTACTTACCTTTAACACTGCGACCAAAAAGTAATACTAAGATCAAGGTTCAGGTTAAATTGCGCGGGGGTGTATATCGAATATTAGAAAAAAAATTTTTTTTTTTGTTGATAGCATTATGGAATTTTTTATTAGCAAAATTAAATGAGATGAGACATAAACCTACGCAAGCGGCTCGGAAACAATCGTTGAAACGTGCGAATAACGGCCAAAGGGTAAGTCAAAACCGAGAGCACCGAGCCAAAGTTGCTCAAAAATCAAGCTGATATTAATAATAATAGCTTTCTTCGGTTATCGCAGTGTTACGCACTATGAATTCCTTCTGCCGGGCCAACCTATTAACACGGAATATTATATATGTTTGGGAATTTTTTGAAAGCAGCGAAATATGTTTCGAAAAATAAACAAATTTAAAAGAGAAAAAATCAAATTGGCCTTGCTTTCTGAACGAAGTAAAGTGCTAAATGCAGAAACTTTTTTTTTATCAGCTTTGAACGAACTTTGATTGCTCACCATCCATGACAATTATGTGATACCCCCTTAGTGTTGCAATAATTTCGGGGCATAGTGGTAAGTCGACCAAAATCTTCCTTTAGAGTTAGAGGGGCCAGTTTATGACTTTTGATACCGAGTAAACTCAACTGTAGTTTTTGCATTAAGGTTTATAATTAAGGATTGTCAAGTCCATGTGCGTCGAGTTATTATTTGATGGCAGTCGATAAAGTAAGCATTTTTGTTAGTATCGAATGAAAAATTTCTCGATTATAGAATAGTTGCTGTCTAGAAACAGGAAAAATATTGAAAGGAAAAATGCTCATATTTGATGTAATTGACAGACGACTTCAAATTTAATTAATAACGGAAATTGCAAAATGTTTGAAGAAGCATTTAATTACTTTTGATGCTTTTATCTGGCATGGTGCCATAAAATAAAAGGTTATTATTGACAAGAATTTAGCAAAAAAGTTTTTTAGGAGCTTTTAGTTTTAAGAAGAAAAAGCTCGAAGTTTTAAGTAAACAGTAATGTATTCATCTTAATTTATTAAACTTAACGTTATTGGATTTTTAATTTTTTCTGCATACAGAGACACCACGTCTCCGCTCCAAAGAATAACTTGAATCACCTCCACACTAGCGTTGTAAACATTGTATGCCTTCAGATTTTTGTATTACCAGATATATGTGCGTATATTAACTACATATTAACCAACAACCAACAACCAACAACTTCAACAACAAGCTAAACTGTTAAACGTCCTTACCTTGCCTATTGTTTACATTTATTTTCGATTGTTGTTTTGCTTAGTTCGCTGCTTATCTTCTTCCTCCTCTTTTTAGTTATTTAAATTCACACACTAGCGATAACACAAATTTTCCGTTATTTTTGTCTTAATTGAAGCACATTTCTCCATTCGACAGCCAGACGATACTATCAAGAAAGACTATCGAATTCATTACGCATTCGGTATCGAGAACCCTTTAAGCCCATGATGAAATTAAATTCTTAATTTCAAAATATTTAAACAATTCTTCTGCTTTATTTAATCGTCACTGAAGTCCACCTCTATATTCCTTTTTTTTTTTTAACTCATTTTCTTCATTCTCTCATTTGATTTTTTTAAAGCCCCATATATTTTTGCTAACATTTTCCTGTATAATAATATGATAGCCCAGCTTCCCATTGTATTTACCATCTGGGACTGTTTAACCCGAAAATAGGAATAACGCATTATTGGCTGTTGAGACAATAAAGCTTAGCGTTTGGAGGAGACCTGGCAATGAGAAATAATGCTTCAGTTTCTCAAAAATTTATACATTGAATGTCTCCCTCAGGCCTTAAAATGTAGGCGAAGCTTTTGTTGTATCAACCATTAACCATTGTATTAGCTACTTTAGTTTACTTAGACTCGAATTCTTCCCTAAAAATTGATTTTGATTGATGTTTCGACAATTTTAATCCTTATTGCACAGGCTAAAGATTTCCGATTTCTATAGTGGGCCAAAACCTCAGCATGGAAGTGGCAAGTGGTGGAATAATGCGTCGTTTCAAACCACTTTCGATAGTGTTTCTGGTCCTTGAGCAAAAAGAACCAAATCAATGCAGCAAATTTATATTAAAATATCTCAGAAACAGAAATATTTCAAAAAGAAGACAGACGGACAGACAGACCAGTTTCGAAAATGATTCTGAGTCGATCGGTATAATATAAAAAGTGAATTTAGTTCAAAAAATTTCTGGTATTCTGGGCATACCTCTACCTAAACTTGTACCATAAGTGATGCAGAGTTGATATATATTCTGCATAAACTTTCAATTCACAACTCGTAAAGAAAATGTCAAATGTAACACTGCTGTTACTGTATTGCTGTACTCTTCCTCAACGTATCTATGTCCCAGATGTTTCCCATTAAGCGCTATGTGACTGAGAGTCTCATCATGGTATAATAATACATATTTTGTGAAAAAAGTTAATTTTAACTAGCACCAAATATACAGGCACTTATTTTCATAGCGTCAATTGTTAAATGAAAGTAAAAATCAAATGTGATTCAAAGTCACATCATAGGCGGACTAGAGTTAAACATGATCTCAGTTGTATCGAATCTAGAGAAAATACCCATAAAAAATTTACTATTAATTCCCATTTTACTATAAACCAGAAAAATTTGTTCTACTTTGGAAAAATTTTAATTACCCAGTCACTACCTGTGGAAAATATGCAAACCCCATTAATTTTTAATATAATAATTAATTACATATCAATAAGTTGATCGGCAAGATTAGTTATACGACTTATGCTTGAGCTATTGCCAGCAATTTTTGGTTAATGTTTCTTGATTAGTGTTAGAAAAATTTTGAACAATTAATTATCTTTGTTTTCAAAACTTCAGAGGAAGTATTACCGATCTAAAGTTTCCGATGTCGATTTTATTACCCATTTATGAAAATGCATAGACGCGAATAAGCTAAGCAATAAAAACTTTTGAAATCGTTTATCTTAAAAATGTTACAATCTCAACACTAAACTATCGTATCTGGATTACTCGCGCAAAGGGAAACGAAAAACTGTAAAGCCTAACTTTTAAGATGAGACATTAACTTGGGAGAATTTTAAAATTTTTTTTTAAATTATTAATGCAGCTTCCAGTTGAATTCTCTGTTTTTCTGTTTACAAACAGAAATCTTGTCGTTCTCTCTCACAATCCTTCTCTCTCTCTCTCTCTCTCTGTGATATTCATTTAAATAAATATATTATAAATGCTATTAAATCATTGAGCAAAGTTGAAAGAAATCGAATGAAAACGAGATTTTCAAATCCAATGATTTCAGTTTAAGCTTAACATTTAAAACGTTTGGTCACAGAAAACGAGAAAATCAACAAAGCTATGTCGCCAAGTAATCAAACCAATAGAACGAATGAAATATTTTTAATATAAATATATCAAATTATAGGCGTTTCAATGACGCAATAAGATTATTTAAAATAACTTTATTGCAAATATATTTTTAACAACAATTATAAAATTGAAAATTTTATATAGAAATTTGTGAATTGCTTAAAACAAAAAAACTTAAAAACAAATCCATTGAAAAGACGATACATTTATGAACAGAATGTGTGTAAAAGTATTCTTTAATATGATGCTGCTAACGGCTTTTCTAACACGCGTGAGAACCACTGAAATACCGGACGATGGCAAATGTAAGTTTCAAAGATAAATTTAAACAGAACTTGAATTTTTTTTTAATTCTTATGATTTGATCACGCGAGGAATGAAGGAATGAAAACCTTTCCAATCAATTATCATTTTTTTCCCATAAGTGCCTACAACAGTTCAAAAGGCACAGGCCCACCTAAACTCTTACGAAAAGTGGAATGGCATAGTGGGGGGAGGGGGGGGGGGGGGGGTGTGTACGTGTCATGCACGTCGATTCATACACGTTCTGCCAAGGGACACTCGAAACATTCTACATATCCTATGTAAATTCGATGCCATCTACTGGTTTTTGGCGAAGACGTGATGCCATCACAGGCAGTATGATGCTCCGGCGGAATTCATAAGAATCCTAACGATCAAGAGCGAAAGTCTTGGCAGGCATACGAAAAAATTTTCAGGTAACGACACAGTTTGCCCACACAACTCCAATACTAGAATATGTATTCCATGTCGATGAAGTTAGGATTAATTTGCGGCTGATGGAGAAACGCGGCGACTGTAAAAAACAGTCAGTGTCTAACTAAGCTAAAATTTGTTATCAACATATAGTCGAGTCACTGACAAAAAAGTTGTCTATTGATTGGCAAAATTGCCTTCAAGGAAGATTTTGAATATTTTATGGATTTTATGATTGAGTTCATAATGAAACAAAATTCTTGAAAAAATTATCGCTTAAGATTTTAAGAGCATGCCATACATCTAACCTCCCGTCGTTTCTCAAAGTTAAATGTTGCAGTAATTCGCGTCACTGTCATTTTTATTAATGTAGGGCGTATCCACGAGTCTTCTTAAAGTGAGTTGAACTTTTTAGCTGCTTTTTAATTTTTATTTGAATTAACAAGGATTTATTTAAGCTAATATTAATCATAAAACTAACTAATCATAAATAATACTTATGTCATAAAAATTAATATCTTTTAATTACCATTTTTTATATTTTTTTATCGCAACCATGGCTTTATAAATGATGCTAAAAAGAAGAGGCAGATTATATATGAGTTGAAACAAACCGAAGGGCACCCAGAAATTATTCAAGGCAAATTTTTACATTTACATTTACATTTATATTATATCGTGCAGCACTTACGGTTTGCTAATAGGAATGTCCAGATGTACGCTACACACAGGAGAACTTGAGATAGACCCACATATAAATATACCGAGTAAATCGATCTAAGTAGACGGGCAGTCCATCTGCCCGCCTTCTATTTTTGTGTTCAATGTACAAGCGACAATTTTTGGAGATATTTTGATGAAATTTGGTACAGCAACGTGTTTTGATCGGATTGAAAATTGTTCGGATCTACGTCGTCGTATACAATACTTTATTTTGAAAACTTCTTATATGAATAATTGCAAAGCAAAGTGGTAGACGATATTTAATGTTTGGCTGTGTTCCACTATTGTACTTTTACTTTACTTTTATTTTAGTATGGAATTTGAGGTTAAGGTATCAAAATTTAACTGAATTTGCCTAAAAGATCTATTTAATTTGAATAATATTCAGCTTTTTCAACGCTCCTCTTTTGCTTAGCTTGTGCTATTAGTCCAAGCCTACTTATCTTTGGTTTGTGAAACTATTTACATATTTAAAATATTACTTACAGCAAATTCATTGATCAAATAATGCCCTTTACTGCAAATTAGTATAAAATAGGGACAAAGGTTGACTTTCGGTACGCGAACAACATGTGAATGGTGGCGAATGGATTAATAATCCGTCGAGAGTATTCAGGTCATATAGACACTTATGCCATCTAGTGACCGTTATAATGCATTTTTACACTACGCTCGATCATAGGAAATAATTCTTTAATAATTAATTCAAAAAATTTTTAATTCCAATATTTATGAAAATAATTACAAACAATTATCTCGTGTAAATGAATTGGCTAAGAAATTATATATAATTATGATTTCTTCAAGATATTCACTTGAAAACTTTAATCGACACATTGCACTTGCTGCGTATTCTCTACCTGAATTAATGAACATCTTGAATTCATTATAATTATTATACATTTAACAGTACAAGTTACATATACAAAATGTCCGAAAAAAATGCATACATATATTGTGTGTTTATAAAGACAGTAAATATTTAGATAAATTACAGGTTAAAACTACAGACGTCTCTAGGTGTTTAACGTGGATACCTGCCGTGGAGGCTTAACTCGACGGTGCCCGATGGCACATGAGCTATGGAAATGCACACTCGTCGCCCCGAGGTGTTACAGTGGTGATATGTATATGGGCGTATCTTAACTGCGAATCTTTTCTTGAGGAATTTCGCTTTTAATGCTCCCCTTTCCCCCATCCATAAAAAGTTCTGGTCTGGGACACTTTGTTGTTCGTAAAAAGTACCCGGAATTATTGAAGTATAGTTATTTAACTTATACATAAAACTTATTTACTCGCCGTAAAAGAAGACGCAATCACATGCGATAAAATACCACAAATGCGATAACATTATGAATGGACTTAAAAAATTTGCATACTTCATGGACTTCATTTTAAAAATAATTTTTTGTTATTGTTTTTCACATATATATGTAATTTTGCCAATAATTTGTGTACTTCGGTCAAGTTTCCGTTTCTTTTACGTGCTTAACTATTCGCGCACCTTACGTAGCCATTTAACGTAAGTCTTGTATGCCTTGCTCACTAGCAGAAAACAACGTCAGTAATCTCCTAAGCACGCACAGATTTCTCAAATAATAAATTCCGAGTACCATTTGCTCGGTATAAATTATTAGTATTAGTCAACATTAAAAACTACATCGGTTTTGCGCCTTTAGTAGACTAAGTTTATAAGTTTGCTTATGACAGTCAGGAATGTTTGTAATTTCTATTTCTATTCAATTTTAAATTGATTTAGTTATCTCAATCTGTTCATCCATCTCCTTATATCTTTCTCGGGATAATTGATGTAGTAAATTGATAGATATATCCTTGGTCCGATTGCTTATTTTAAAAAAGTAATAAAATATTTGTTCGAATATTACACTTTCATTGATTATCAGCCTGAATATAAGGTTATCTTAAAATATTTTATAATAGTTTACAAAATATTCTGTCAGTGCGACAGTCATACATAGCAAAGTAAATCAAGGCAATTCTCATATCGGATTTTCATAATTCGATCAATGTCTCCTGAAGATTTTCAGTTATAGTTTTTATCTAGTTTGGACATGTTTATTTACAGAATATAAACAATAGAATTTTAAACTAACGTCTGCTGTGAATTGTAGATGACAGTTCTTTGCCTCGAACATGATTGATAAGCGGATCGTACTCATTTTCAGCATATATGTCAAGTTTTTTTATCTAAATTTTTCTAATTTTGAGCATTCTAACAATAGATGATGGATGTAAGACAAAAGGGGCGGACAGACACGTTTAAACTGATTCGGTCTCGGCTATGTATATCGGAATCTCAAGGGAAATTGAAAGACTATTCTATGTGAATATATGAAAACCAGAGCGTAATTGCTTTGTGCACTCAACTTACAGAAATGACGATAATTAACACTCTTTAAGCGAATATTTACACTAACTCTCATATATAAACTAACGTTGTCTCTAGCGCGTTGTCTCAAACAGTGTTACAAATTGAGTAAAGTCCCTTTTCTGCTTAGAAAAGTAAGCGCAAAAGGGAAACGAATTAAACAAAATTCCCTCCTCAAATTAGCTTAAAATTAATTAACTGTCATTTCTGATTAATACTAAGCGATAACAACAACAAAAGAAGGAAAAAAAAAAAGCCAAACCAGTATTCATTCAAAACACTTACAAATCGTATGCGTAAAATTTTTCAATTCTCAAAACTTAATTTACATCAAATTATTATTATAATATTTTAATATATTTGTGATTCTCGTTTTTTATTCTTGTTATACAATACCTAAGATAAAACATACTTACAGTTACTTATATATATATATACAATTGCAATTAAAATCATTCATGTGAATTAGGTACCGTATATTAACGCGTTTGGTTATTCCTACGAGACAGTGAAGCAATGAATCACTTTCAATAATTCAATCGAATTCATTTAAAAAAACATCAATACCCTCGTATATTATACTTTGGTGTATAAAAATCCCATACTCCACTACATGTACTATATCTTTGAAATCAAGGCCAAGTTTGGGTTAATGAAATGATAAAATAACATATAAATATCACTTGGTGTAGCTAATTGCATAAGCACAAGCATTTATTATACGGGTTTGCTGACGCAAATAAAAGAAGTAACGAGACTTGAAGGTCTTGGATATCACTTAAACGAAGCGGCAAATTATATAACAGAAAAGTTGATCGATATTTGTTACAGCTTTTAAGTGCTTTAAAAGAAAGTGTTATCCTCCAGGTATTTCCAGTTTTTGCTTTAGCAAAAGAAATGCGTTCGAAAAGGGTTTTACTTACTTGCATACAGTTCTATGGGGCTAAAGCAAAAAAAATTTTCCGACAATAAAGATAAGGGCGTAAGATTCAACGAACGTATAGACAACGGCTGATAGAAAGCCACGAAGCTTTAATTTAATAAAATTAATTTCAACTTTATGCCGGTGAAAAATATCGATGATGATGATAAGGATCACGGCACCCGTCGACACTTTTCAAAAAAAAACAAAACTCATTTTCATTTGGTTAATAGATGCTCTAGCCCTTCTAGAATGCACGGAAACAATGTAGCATCGAAAAGAAATTGTTTTCCTTGGAATGTCGTGCTTTCTCTGAAAATCTCCAAAAACCACGACTTATATCAAATGTATCCGCGCTGTGAAGTTATAGCCCAATGTCTCATCTTTTGAATTCTAATTTTTCCAAACGAATGCCTTTGAAAAATATTTGCGTTCATTGAAAAGCATTCCAAAACAGACTCGGCGAGCCAGCCAATGAATGAATGCTACGCTTCGAGTGATATGAGAGGAGTCAGTGCATCAGGCAAGAGATGAAGAGAATGTGACAAACATTTTGGTCTTGCTTGTGAATTTTCCAATTTAATTTGAGAAGTTTTTGCATGTATTATGACCATTTTTCGCTTGAAAAAGTTGCTTATTGAGAAAAATTGGTAGACTATATATTGATCCATCATTTTCTACAACATTTTACAATATTTTTGGCGACATGGCGATATCATGCCGAAAGAACTTATATTGGTTTTGCAGCTATCCACCCATCGACCCGCGTGCCAGCCATGTCATGCTGCACCGATCTAAACAACCGGCAATCAGGAGGCGGCTTGTCTGGTGAGCACACGGGATGTGGCAGAACTTCCCGTTCGAGTCGCAACAGACTACTGTTACAGCAAGTGGCCAAAAAAAGGCTTTTTCATTAAATTCGTGTCGCCACTTTTGTATACGTTGGTATTTCTAATTTTTTCATCATTTTTATCTGTAGAAGTCCCTGATCAAAATTTTTGCAAACACCTAATAATATAAAATATTTATTGCAGTAAAACTCTTCAAAGCGCGTCGCACCGTAACTCCATCCGATTTATTTAAAACTTTTGCATCTTGTCTGCCACCAAACTCTTTAAGACAAAGACTAGAGATATATTTGTTTTTTTAATATCTAAATATATGCTTAATAACCTCTTCGAATATCCTTATTGTAATACTTTCTTTCCGCTCTAAAAAAATTATCAAAAATAGGCTTATTTTTTAACTGTTATACTTGTGTGACTCCTTAAGTTTAAGAAGAACATTTTTAATTTGGGCGCGTCAATTCGACAATCGGAGGTAACCCTGGAAAGTTTTATGTAAATGTCTGATCTAAATTGTAATTTTTTAGCTTCTGTACAATATGATCACGGACTGGTCGCCACAAATTTTTAAACCTGGCCTATTACCTCTCTCTAAGAATATATTTTCAAGTTTTAGCCCTCCTTATGGATTTCTTCAATCATTAGCATTACAATGGCAGACAGAAGAGTTGACGATACGATGAACGGAGAAATGTAATAGATAAGCCGTTCTTAGTGCATAATGCCATCCAATCTAAATGAAATGCGATGCAACGCTATTTAAAAAGGAATTAATGACATTTTTTAAGTAATTGTTATCGGAACTATACTTTCTAAATTTAGATATGCAATGTCGTTAAGATTACGAAGTGTTGTATCCAGAGAAATGGTTGCATCTATAGACAAACCGACGGGCAGATATGGTTAAATTGATTCTTTATTGGAAACTTTATTAAGTTTTCAGGTATATTTCACCGATTCATAAGTATGGTGAAAGGAGGTGGAATTTGTAATTTTGTCCAAACGTTTGCGTGCATACCAAATTCGCCATATTCTGGCAATTGCCGACAATCGGACAGGGCGTTTAATACTAATAAGTGGCGACAATGAAGAGTTGAACATAATCCCCGACCTGAAACTGGCCAGCTTATTTGCTTAATTGTACCTAAAGTCTTTTCCACATTAAGTACACAAACGAAGTGACGGTATGATATAACATCTGTATTAAAAAGATCTTTTTGAAGTTTGGAAAGGTGACTGCAAATGAAATAATGCAAGTCCTTTTTTCCCCCAATTTTTTAACTTTGTCCGCCAGAGCTTCAATCGGCCAAAAGCCAAGGGATACTCTACGTAACTTCACCAAGTATATTACATAAATTGAATAAGCAAACTTTAGCTTTAAGCAAACATAAATATTATTTTCAATTATAATTGTACAATATTAGGTCGAGTCAAAAGCCGCTTGCGTTTTTTATCATACATTTATTTTGTTTCCATTGAATAACAAAATTATATTAATTCAACCGCTCATTGTGAGGTATTCAACCTTTTTGCTATACCTCTTCTTGATCAGCATAGATTTTGCCTCCATATTGCCTGTCAAAGTCGGAAGAACGCCCCATCTGTTAAGGTCGTATCTCCACAACGGAATATTACAAATCGATTTCTAACTGCCCGATCGCGAAAACAGAAACTCGTTTATTTCGGTCACTTGTAGTGTGTAAATACGAACAATATGTTTTACCCACCTGCATCGGAAGTTAATTATGACTCGACCTAATAATTATATATATTACGATATTAAATTCATTGCTAATGGAAGTACTTTGGTTAAAGGTCCAAATTCGATCTTCTAAATTCTATTTCTATTATTTAATTAGTGACCCTGCGAAGTATCCCCCTTACAACGGAGTAATAACCAGAAAGAAGCGGAGCGAGAGATGCGCACTAGACGAAGCGTTGCGGGTGATCTGCCAGATCAGTAAAAGCTATGCCTTTGTCGACTGAGCGCTCATTAAAGCTATAACCAATTATGGTCTATCGTCCTTATTTACTCAACTATTGATTTTCTGATAAGTTCATACTGCTGCAACTCATTGCAGCTTTCGACAACTTCAATATAAACGTTAAAAAAAGGGAGAGATGAAAAATTGAAAGATGTTCTACTAGAGTAGAGAAAAGACAAAACTCGCACGACTTTGATTTGAAATTATACACATATTACTATAAAATTATTTATTTATTATACGATTTCTTCCGCATTTACTCATTTTCAGTACGTCTCTGTATAGTGGAGTCACGTGGCATTTATCGTAAAACACCCAAATTTTGCCCAACTTTAGAAGCTACTAGCAATATAGAATGTGTAGTTGGGGTTGATCGCCTGGACTGCGTGCGTCGCATACATAAGGGCACAGCGCATTTTGGAGTTTTAAGTTCTGAAGACTTAGTAGCAGCAAGATGGGCTAGCGTGGAAATTTTAGTAGCAAGTGAGTTGCGATTACATAATGCGCCTTTTGAATATGAAATAGTCGCAGTGGTGGACAATGAAGCCGACATTCATACAGTTCATGATTTGCGTGGCGCCAAACTTTGTCATCCGGGTTACGGCTTAGAAAACCATTGGACCGAAATCCTGGCAAATGTAAGCAGGGCAGAAGCATCTTATGACAGCTTATTAATCGACATTTTATTATTTCTAGTACTTTGAATCTACTCTGATTTCAAAATCCTGCGACTCCGGGATATCGTTAACGGAAGATAAAATTCGCGCATCTGCCAGATACTTTGGTCCTAGCTGCAAGGCAGGCCCTTGGGTTCCAGATCCAAAACAAGATCGCCTACTGAAAGATCGATATCCGTCGCTCTGTCAAATGTGTTATGATTCATACAGATGTGATATAGGTGATAAACATTGGGGTAGACGTGGAGCGCTGTACTGCTTAACTAGCGGCGGTGGCAATGTGGCGTGGGCTCGCTTGGATGATGTAAAAAGTCATTTTGGAGTAAGTTAGGAAAAAATTTGTGATCCAGCAGATATTAGACATGTTTTTAATTGCAGTTAACAGGCCTAACAGCTCAAGCAGAAATATCAGAGTACAGTTATTTGTGTGCCGATGGTCATCTACAACCCATCAATACAACCCGACCTTGTGTTTGGGTAGCTAAGCCTTGGCCAGTGGTAGCAGCCCGTCGTAACCACGCGGCTCAGGTGCAAGCTTTAATAACTGGCTTAAATCATGACGATTCCAAAAGCTGGCAGAACGCACTTTTAAGTCTTTTGGAAACCTATCATATAGACATTGTACCCCTAGATAATGTGATACCCATAGATGATTATTTGGATCAAGCACCCGCCTACCAAAGTGCCTATAGTTTTCCCGAATGCAATCCTCCAAGATCAGTAGTGTTTTGCACGACTTCTATAATACAGCATATTAAATGCTCTTGGCTCCAAGAAGCCTCACAAGTCTATGGAGTACAACCTAACATTCAATGTATTCGATCACCAGCTTTGAGCAACTGTTTGGATGACGTAAAATATAAAACAGCTGACGTCGTTTTGGTGGATCATGAAAACCGTATAAGAGCCCAAAGGGATTTCGATTTAATACCTCTGCTGTATGAATTCTCGCAGGGTATGCACCAACGTTATGTTACAATAGCCATAGTACGCAAAGAAGCGAAATTGGAAAACTTTAGCCAATTAAAAGGCGTAAAAGCATGCTTGCCGTCTTACGAAGGACCCGCTTATCTTTCAGTAACGCATACTATCGCTAATAAAACTGGACAAGTAACTGCTTTACATCATTTCTTTCACCGAAACTCATGCACTTGGCATCCTAAGCAAAAAAACAAATGTCCCGAACACTATAAAGGAGATGAAGGAGCCTTCCGTTGCTTAGCCGAAGGGAATGGCGACGTAGCGTTTTTAAGCTCCTCCGTATATAAACAGTATATGGTGGGGAACTTAACGTCCCCGTGGTTGCATAAAATTGGTCACAAATCATTTAAAGTATTATGCCCCTACGGTGACAACGAAAAACGTTCTAAATTTGAATATTGTTATTTGCATTGGACAACGCGCGGTCATCTTATGACCCATAAAAATACTCTAATTAGACATAACGAAATTTATAACACCTTAAAAGATATGGATGCGCTATTTGGAAAGAAATACAAAACTGAGACGAGACCTTTTACGATGTACGGTATTTTTGATCAAAAGCATAATATCATATTTAGAGATGAAACTGACGGTCTCAAAGGTCTACAAGATCTGAGGAAAGATGAAAACCGAAGAATGATGGAGGAAATCTTTGAACGATATATAAAAGAAGAATATCAACTGCTACAAGAGAACGCTGGCCAGACTAATCGGAAAAGCAAGTATGTCGTAATAGGCGTAATAGGTTTACTGTTAAGGTTAGGAATGCAGTAAATAAACAATTCTTCTATGATCACACATGATATCTAATCTTTATATGTAAAATTATTGTGATATTATAGATTAAGTAAAAGTATTAAAAACATAAGCAGTTGCCGCAGAAAATATTAAGAACCTAAGCTTCACAATGTTTGTAGACTTATAAGATGTACGTATATGTACACATATATGTAAATATGTAAATATAAACCAACAAATAAATATAAGATCAAAAGATATAAAAATAAAAAATACTCCATTTCGTTAATTGTTAATTACACCTGTACTTATTAATATGTACGCAGAATTTTTTTTTGCATTTTCATACATATTCTCAGATAATTGCCGGAAAAAAATAATTGAGCACTTTTCAGCTTTTCACCAAGCAGCTAGATGGAAAAAATCTTAGGCCTTGGAATGAATAGTATTTAAAATTTTGTAAAAGATCAGTTAAGATCTTAAAAGACTAAGAAGTCAATACTCGCGGGTACAAATGTCAGTGCGGTAAAGTTTACTTTGCCGTAGCTATTATGAGTGGTTAGTCGGTAAAGACGGTAGGAATACGGAATCTGTTCTTTGTCAGCAAATTTATTGCCCACCCAATTTATCAACAACAATACCCATAAAATAATAACAACAACAACAGCAGCAACAATGACAAAAATAGTAAAATCAGCAGCGGTAAATTTCTATATACAGCCGTAGGCATATAAATAGCACACACTTCGTTATGAGGGAAGGACTATAACAGCAAATTTATTTTTCTTTGGAGATATGGATTTTATTCTAGCTTTGCGATCGGCCACTACTCATAGAAGAGAACTATCTGCATTCTTGTTAGAGTCGTTTAAAACTTATATCAGTTTTAGTACTCCAAAGAAACAGTCATAAGACTCCAAGACACTCCAATATTACTTTCATTACAGACCAGAGTTGTCTCTGCTATACTGCCCGGAACAACACTATACATGTAAAAAAAATTAACACAATTTTAAAATAAAAAATTCATTCAGTAAAAGTGAGCGCAAAAATATAATCATTTTTTGGACATCAAAATCGCGTCGTTCGTTTCGTTATCTATGATCCTCAATAATTTGTATAAAAATTCCAAACATCTGAGAATAAGCGTCCACATTTGATTACAGTTCTCAATAATTGAACATGTATTTGTATAAAAATTGCCTACATCTGAGAATAAGCGTATAAAAATTGGCCGCCAACTGAAAGTAAGCGTCTACGATTCTCAATAATTTGTATAAAAATTCCAAACATCTGAGAATAAGCGTCCATATTTGTTTACAATTCTCAATACTTGAACATATATTTGTATAAAAATTTGACGTAGCACTTACCGTGTGAACAGGCAGACCCATTCGCCTCCCTATGTCTTTCCCTTCCTTAATTTCTTCGTCTTTCTGGCCGTCAACGTGCCAGAGGAACAGAGAAAGTCCACTGAGTTATTGAAAATTACAAAAAATGATGTAAACATATGTAAGAAACAACCCCTCTTTGCTACCCGTGCTAAAGCGGGTAGCTTTAGTTCTACTTACTACACTAATTGAATGATTTAAGAGTTGTCGGATTAACTAGAGTGTGGAATCTAATAGAAAATTTTCGAACTAATTTCGTATTGCAATATGTCAGGCCGCATCTACTTAGGTTTGATGAACCAACTTTCATAGCTAGTAAAGGATTTCGATTGAGTAATCAAAATTTTTAGCGAAATTAGTGTCAGCATGGCCAGGATAAACCTAACAAACGATAATATAGACTGTAACGTATGACACAATTACTTAATTCTTAATTTTCAGAAGATTTTTGTAGAGAAATCTCAGCAATCAAATCCTTACTTGATTTTCCTTTATCTTCATTAAGCTTGGTCAATTCAGGGTAATCAAAGCATATAAACGTTCAGAGTGGTTTGCTGAAACCTAAATGATATCTATCAATTAATCTCAATTTTGTATTCTTTAAAGTATATCAAAACAACTTTGTTTAATGCCCGCGATTTGCCTATGTCGTATTTAAACTAACTTGCAATATTAACGTTTCATTATGATTCGAAAATTAACTGGCGTTGTTTGCAATGGTACTTGCATGGTATGGTAATCGCAACTTGAATCTGTACCGGGGGCTAGCTGTATAGATGCTTTTTTTCTTTCTTAATTATTTATACATGAATTATCATTTAACTGTTTGTGTGTGTTTTTTTTTGCTCTTTTCTTCACATCTCCTTATATGCTTTAAACTAGTTTTTAATAATAATTAGTATAAGGTTCATTTCTTAGAGTTAATTGAATTCGATTGTTAATTTACTTGAGTTAAGCTATGTGTGTAGGTAAATAAATGAATAATGGATAATTTTTAAACATTAAGATTTTTAGCTAAAAGTAAGATAAATTAAATCGAATAATAAATTTTCATTTAGTCATTAATTATTCATTGCTTTCTTTTCCTTTTTGAAAGAGAGACTGATTTGATTCGAAAGACATAAAATTTATCACTTTCAGTACTTTTTTCTTCTTGCGATAAGTTACACGATTCCTGTTTCATTCATAATGAAATACATCACTGATTTACTTAAAAAAAAAAAAAATTTATTTCACCATAAATAGAAACTCACCTCTCCTCTCCAACAACCATATGTAGCATACCTCGTCAAGCAGCCTTTCAGCTGATAAAATTGGTTTTTTGTTGCATTTTTGTTTATACTCTTTGATAAAAACTTGTTATTGCATGTTAATCATTGTTTTTATTTGTTTTCTTTCATTTATTTGCTTTTTATTGCGGATGTATGTCACAGGTTGCTAAGGGTGAATTTCCTTTACCACAACAAAAGAGTTAATATTAAAATTCCATTGATTAAACACAAGTAAAAGCTCAAGTAGTAAATAAAATTTCTGAACATATATTCTAATAAAAATTTTTGACTTTTAATTATTAAATTCAATAAAAAAATGTCACAAACGCGGAAAACGCCAGCAAACAAAAGCGTAAGCAAAATTTTTCTTATATTTTATTAAGGAAACTTCTACGTACTACGAAAAAAATGAAAAACGAAAATAAGTTTCACCAGGTAGTCTCACTTGTTTAAAAAAAAAAAAAAAAAAACAGAAAATTATATGTAAACAATTTGTAACTCCTTTAGCTAATTAATCGTGTATTATTAGCCAATAAAAATATTCCATTTTATGGCACTTTTTTTTTATTGTTTTTACTTCGGTTTTCCCACACAAACGTTACTTACGCGTTACGCGGTTATTTCAACAATTGTATGGCTGCAATGTTTTTTTCATTCGTCAGCCGCTTTTCGTTTTATCTCTTTCTGTAACTCGACAAAGTTGAGTAAGAATGCAAATGCGAGAGAAAACCATATAGAAAATTCCTATAGTGATCATTACTTTGAGAGCGATGTTAAAAAACCTACAGGTTTTCTTTTTACAACAATGTGTAGAATTTGAAAATTTGGAAGCTCTTATACAATAGAGTAAACATGTTTCGAAGAAAATCATTGATCACATACTAAAGCAAGTAAGAAAACCGAATCTTTTATACCCGTCAAAGTGATCATAACAAAAAATGAAAAGAACTTAATTTACATACTCTATGGGCAAATGGGGTATTGGGCATAATTGATTTTTAATATTTTTAGAATAAGAGTGAAAATTTATATAGTGTATGTGTTATATTTTACGAGTAACAAACAATGCAACGGGATTTTTCCCGTGTTCACAGTTTTTGTCACATAGACGTGTGAGCGCTTTAGCGAACTTCTGTGGAAAACTTTGGTCTTTTTCAAGTTCAAGACGGATAGATGGAAAGATAAATGAACGGACATGCTTAGGTCCATTCCGAATTTGAGATATGGCAAGAACTTATATACTTTACGTGACTTTGATGCTTGTTTCTATTTCTTATAAAGGTATTGAAAAAAAATTAAATGTTGATATACTATATATTGAGTAGGCGTGACCAATTTTTTCCACTTTTGTACAGGTGCAGGTGCGTTGTCGCCCATAAAATACGCGTTCAAAGTTTTATACCGTTCTTTATTATAATTTATGGGTAATGAACAAAGAACTAATTATATTACTTTTGAAAAACAGAGATATTCTCAGTCTATGCGGTGCCATGGGCGTATCGTTCGACATATTTGGCCTATTTTCATTGCCAACCAATATTTCTGCCACATTTACTGTCGAAAAGTTCATTTTCGCCGCCAGGAGTGCTTACCACAGACATCACATATGCGGACAGACCTAAATCTTCCTTCTGGGCATTGCAAACGTTTTCACAAAACGAATACACCCTTCATCCATTGATGATGGGTATAAAAATCATGCATTTATTAATAACTGCATTAAGGGTCAAACAGAGAAATTCTTGTTCACATTAAACGTTTTTACATAACATAGCGAATCTTCTGCGGTTGATTTGTTGAAATGCAGAAGAAGAAGACGCGTACATTTTACTCTGTTAGACAAAGAATAGCTTTGCACTTAATCTTTTAAAAATTTTAGTTCCGCGTTGTTCAAAATTTACCTGAACTCGAACAATGTCTCTTAATATTGTTTAAACAAACGCCGACGCAACGGTCACAAAGCTAATGAACTGAATTTCAAGATCATTAATACTTTTTTTTTATTTATTTATTTAATGTATTTTAATATTTTAGGCACATACTCTGCGTGCAAAAGTTGACTCACGAACAAAAGATTCAACAAGCCACTCAACAAAGGTGTCGAAGCGAACAGCAACGCAACTTTTGAGCACATCGGGTGAAGACAAAAGGAAAATTAATGTAACTAATACCTTACCTAAAACACAAGATGTTAAGATTAAAGCTACAAACACAAAATTACGAGCAAGTACAGACCGTTCGGAAAAACTGGAAACCCAACTAAACACTAGCAAAATATCTACCTCCAACCAAAAACCAAGAATAAATGCTAAAGACAGCAAGGTCAGTAGCGTAACAGTCACAAAACCCTCAGCTGCCATCAGCTCTACTAAGAAAAGAGTTTTGCCAAAGCAGGCGCCAATTTTAAAACCTAACCTAAAACCTAACGCCGTCTTAGATACCTACCACAATGTGACAGTGGCTTCACCCCCACCGAGAAAAAAGGACCTGCCCCTCACATCATCGGCAGACGCCGCAGACAAGCAAAACGACAAGGACTTATTATCGAAAAAATTAAATAGGAAAAATAGTCACACTTTGTCCCCGGGAGAAATTGTTGTTTTAAAAGAGGAATCAGCTAAAAAACAATTGGAAGAACAAATTAATCGAGAAAGTAATTTAGATGGAAAAATGACCACGCCTATTAAAAAAGAACCAATAGCATTTGAAGTTAATTTTCATAAGGAGCAGAAAGCGACAAGAGCAAGGTCGAGATCGCGTTCGAAAACCAGAGAGCGAAATAAAAAGCTAGAAGATGAAACGGAAGACAGCAATAATTATTCAGATGATTTTGAATCTTATGAATCGGACTTTGAAACACCAACAAGTTCCGAAACTGAAAGCGAAGGAAATGAGGCATCTTCGACTGACAGCGATTCGAATAAACTACCAGAAAAAGAAATACAAAAAAACAAAACTTCTAGTGCAGAAGCCAGTGAAGAAGAATCGGAGGTAACACAAAATCCTATAACCGTTATCCAGAGATATAAAGAACGTAAATTGGATTCCGGCAATTACGATATAAATGACTATGCGAGAAAAGCCATACCACGCCCTCCTACTAATTTATCCGCCCATTATGATAGCTTGGATACCATTAGTTTGGCTACGTCAGACCAATTAGATTCTGGCGTTAGTACGTACAGCCTTAACCATCCCAACGATGTTAAAGATAATAGTGAGAGAACAAAAGAAGTATCTTACGGCGGTTATCCGCAGTTCTATAGCAAACCAATTTTTAATGAATGCGGCAAAGAATTCATGTCTAAAATACAATTTGATGCATTGAGTTTTGTTTTATTGGACATGAAGCCAATCTCCTATGAAATGTACATGCAAAGCTTTGGCAAGTTGTATACGGCGCAAATTTCTACTCAAACGCAAGACAATGTTTCAGATGTGGAAGTGCAAACAGATGAACTGTATTTTAGATCTATATGGACCCAGCACCCAGCTTTGTATAATTCACGTATTATGGAAAAGCTGCGTGGGCAGCAGTGTTGCGGGGAGTTTCCAGATATAGAACATGTTAAACCTGAAAACTCTTGTAAGTTGGAAAACAGTTTAAAGACATTGAGAGACATAAGCCAAAAGACTAACACGAGCAAATGTCATCAGAATTTAATTAAGCAAAAGAGCCAAAAGCCTTTGGATTTAGAAAACTTAAATTCGTTCCTTCTCAAGTCGTCGCTGGTTATATCACAAATTTTAAAGACTAAAAGAAAATTGTTTCATGGAACCAATTCCCTGTCGATATCTGAAGGTTTCTATTGCTTGGAATCGAATCTCTTGAGTACATTAACTGTTAATGGTGTATATTCGAATCTCCGTTACAATTTGGTGATAACTGTACACGAAAATTTGCCGGACATCGATGTTTATCATTCGGATTTCATAAATTTGCTAATAGTTTGGTGTGTGAATGAACCAAAAACTCCTATACGTTTACTAAGCACATGGAGTCAAGTATGTCATGTGGAAATTTCTGAAGCAACTCAGGATATCATAGTAACCGCATTACAGGACGGAAGCATAGCCATGTGGGATTTACGTGAAACATATTCCTATTGTTCTAAACTAGATGGTTACTTACAACATTTTGCGACGACGCAATCTATTGTACCTGCTTGGTATGAAAAAGGCGCAAAATCGAAAAACATTTCTATAGATGTAGGACCATGCATAACCGTTAAAAGCTTTCGCTGCCCTAGCTACAGCTCAAGCTTGAACAATACTTTGAATAATTTTCAAAACTCTCAGGTGAGTTATATTTGAACCAAATCACCGCTTTTCGCTCTTTATTAATATCTTTTCTCTCTTCTTCAGTTTGTATCTTTACACGATTCTGGTATTTTGACTATTTGGACATTAGTGGAAACATCTAGCAATTTAACATATCTTAATAATCGGAAGGCAACTGGAAGAGGCAGTCATATAAAGAAATCTATTGATTCACACGAGTACAACTCGCCCTGGGCTCGAGTGAAGCTAATACAAAGTGCTATTATTCAATTGAAGGATTACTTGGAATGCAAAAATGCTCGATTACCTTTTGATTCTTTCAAGCAAACGCAGAACTTATTTCAACAAAATATTTATAGTGATAAGGCTTTGCGTGAAATTGGTGCAAAGAAAGGATTAAAGAAGGTTTTACAAAACGTGACATTTCGGAGCTTAGACGTTGGTTCAGAAACTATATACATTTGTACGAATCATAATTATATCTTGTGTTGTCCCAAGTCTCTGAAATCGGAATCTTTCAGACGCATTCCCTTAAATGAATCGGATTTTTTATTTCCCACTGCCTTAAAAGTATTAACAAATGAACATTTCGTGGCTGTAGGACTATCAAATGGAGCGGTTATAATTTTAAATTGCAGTCATAACAAGAATCCCAGCATTTGTAAGGATGAAAGCTTAGAAAACGGAAAATTCCAGGAACCGGCTAAGAAGCTTTCATCAGAGCATTCTTTTAATAACTCTTCTGCTAGAAGTAAATCTTGTGCCATACAAAATATAATATTAAACGAACGCAGATCCATAGATATGGATTTTTGTCAAAATATTGAGCTACACGACACACAAGGGCCAACTACTGTTGCCTGCCTGGCAACGATAAACAGTAAACAAAAGCCTTACGAACTAATTGTCCAAGATCAGCTAACGATTTTAACCGGTTCAGTTTTGCGCAAAAGTTTAGTGAAATCTTTGGAATTATCTTTCGACGGTTGGCGATTATTTGCCTTATCCGACAATAATTTAAGAGTCTACGATTTTTATTTAGATCAGGAAGTAGCAGTCAGTGAAAGCAATGAGAGCATGGGTACTAATCAAATTAAAGACATAACGACGACAAAATCTGATAGTGAAAGACAACATTTGATAATTCTGAGGAAGAATGGAACAACCGAAGTTCATCAACTTAAGAAATGAATTAATACAATACGGCATTGAAGGGAAAGTGTAGAGAATATAAAATAACTTCTCATCGGGAATGCACAAGAGAAGCGTTCTGCTCGCCGTTATTTAGTCAAAGCGATAAAAGCAAGAAAAGGAAAAACGGTTTATTAAAATGGTTGGAAACCAAAAATCATTTCAAACCAATATAAAGAAGCAGAAGATAATAAGGCAATTTAAAAAAGCTTTCGCATGGAATATATTCTTCATCAATAAAGCATAACAAGGCTGAGAAAAGCACATTTTTCGTTTGGATAAATTAAACAAGGTTACTTTACTTCGACTATGCTTGAACTTTCATATACAAGAGCGAAGTCGACTCTTGATATGTGAATTTTCGTACAAAAACTTCACTTCACTTGCTCAGTGAAATTTCGGACAAAAAAAGGATAATTTTATTATTATGGCCTTTTAGGACTTCAACAGGCGTACTTGCATCTCGAATAAGCCACATTACATCGTATTAAATAATGCTGTAGCTATCTATCTGAAAGGGAATATACTTTTTGCGTCATATACGTCGGGAATCAAAATAGCACAGTTGAAGCAAATCTACTTGTTCTTTTCAGCTCGAAAGAGGGAACTGTCAAAAAATGATGGGTAATAAAAAATTGACACCTTAACGCATTCCTGACAATAGGGAACCATTGGCATCGAAATTAAGGCGAAAATCTATGGCTTTCTTGTTTAGAGATTCAGCTAATTATAGTGCCTTATGGATTAGTCTAACGCAAGAAGAATTCCATCAATAGGAATTGATGAAATTAAACTTACCATAAGAGTATGCATATGAGGCATTACAAGAGGAATTCTTTACATGACCATGCTCGTTCCCATATTACAATACTCACTCACGATACATTAATATAATAAGATATACTCGAATATATTGAACTGATAACAAACAGAAAATAACGAAATCTATATCTTGGTAGATCACCAACGTTTATAATGATTGTTTGAAGTATTTCTCAACAAACACACAAATACCGACATTTTTAATAAAGATCGATACAAATGATGTTATAATTGCTTACAATAAAAAAATTTTCTAACTCTGTTCCACATTTTGTTTTCCTGCTAAATGATAAATGATAATTTCCCGAACATTTCCAATATCCAGAAGGAAGCTTCAGAGTTCCTATAAAATACATACACGTTCTTAATCAGTCAAATTTTAGGGAGAATTTTAATGCAAACTTCTTTCTGTCTGTCTGTCCATGCAATATCCATGTTAAACATTCATCTGTTCGCAAAAATAAAGGTACCGGCTTGAAATTACGGAAGGACACAAACTCCGGCAGACAAAATAGACTCAATCGGTCAAACGATATGCGTACAGTAAAACGTAGACTACGACAACCCCTATTTTTAAAAGCGTAAAATGTTTGTTTTTTGGTAATTAATCCTGAACAGCGACGGAAACAACGATAAAAGTTGACGCATGTGCTCCAAGAGTGAGTGAGTCCTAAATAGGACAAAACAAAAGGAAAAGGGCCAAATTTTCATCCTCTATAATATGGAGTAGCATGACTGATTTTTTCTATTTTCAAAATAAAAGCTTTTGTCGCATAGACGCGTGGCGTGTCCTTGAAAAGTTTAAGTCACTTCGAAATTCTTTTGGAAACTTGTAGGTGACACCTTTATTTTCGTTAACGAGAGAATGTTTACCACAGATATTACACAGTTGAGCAGACGGACATATGCACCGACGAAGGTTGATTTTTTTATACCATCACCGCAGGATAAAGGATATATTGATTTGGCAAACCGTTTGCAAATCACTGAAGGAAACTTCAGAGATCTCACAAATTATACATATACTTGAACAGCGTCATATTCTGAATCAATTGAGGCATGTCCGTCTTTCCGATTTTCTGTTTGTAAACTTTTTCCTGGCCGCAAAAATGAAGCTATCGACTTCAAATTTTCGCTAACACATTAGAAAGTCTTGCACGCACGTTGTTATTGAAAATGAGCCCAATCCGTCAAACGGCACGTCCACAGTACGATGGAAGCTAAGAACACCTCTGTTTTTCAAAAGGAATAAAAAATTGGGTTTTTTCTCATTACTTATAAACTACGGCAGATAAATGTACAAAAATTGAAAAGTTTATTCTATGGCCGATGCTGTATTGGCTATAAAAAAAGAGGAAAAAATTGACCACGCCCAAGATTATAGAGTATCAAAATTTAATTTTTTTTCCAATATCTTAGGAACGCACAGGAAACAAGCTTCAAAAGCTTTATAAAGTATGTAAATTCTTGGCCACTTTTAAATTCGCCACGCACTTAACCATGTTCGTCTGTCCACCTGTCCATCTGCCCAACTGTCTGCGGTAAACATTCTTTCGTTTGCAAAAATGAATATATCGCCTACAAATTAGTAAACGAATTTGAAAATGACACAAGGCTTTCAAAAGATATGCCAATGAGGCTCAACCTGATAAACTACACATATACCATACCATATAAACCACTTTTCCACTTTTATTCTGAAAACAGGCAAAATCCGCCACGCCTATCCAACATTATAGACTACGAAAATGTAGTGCTTTTTCTTTTTTTTTGATCCTTTCTAGAATAGCGATGGATACAAAAGATTCGATCACCCGCGAATATAGTTTTCTTACCTGGTTTTATTGGAAACAACACTTTTAAGAACTCCGCCCTGTTTCTTTTGCTACAGCAATCTAAATCAATTGATTCTTGTCCTTTTTTTCCGATTAAAATATACACCCGTTATAGTAAGTGCCGCATGGCTCCTTCGCTTAAAGATGCCTCACAAACGCCTCATGATACGGGTGCTGGCATTTCTAATGTTTTTCAATATTATTTCTAATATGTGGATGTGCGAGTAACGCGCAAAATTAACAAGACATTAATCAAATATAGTTTTATTTACGAATCTAACCCTAACTTTACTGAGACTCAAACAAATAACTCTGTGCTTACATTGGGCGTTTTTTTTTTGAGAATTTCAGGGAATTTCGGTTGAAGAAGAAGAAGATAAATATACGTCCAATAAACTTTGTAAATTTTATTATTCTATCGCATATTTGCCTATTTAAAAAAAAATTCTCTAAGAATTTGTTAAAGTAGTTTCCCCGCTTAAGCATTAAAGAAAAATGTAGCAACAATAAGTGTGCTTCAACAATCAATTTTCCATTTACAAACAACGAATCTGTCCTATTTCAATTTTAGAAGCTATTAGAATAATCCAGATGTAATAACTCCCCAACTTCGGATAGTATTTATTTTTTAAGTTAATAAACAAAGTATTCTTTGACAATCAACGAAAAGCGACGAATGGTAAATGCCGTCAAAGATATGTTTATTAAATTGCCATTAGAGTTGTTTCGGATCACTAAGCTAAAATGTGGCCATAAGTGACAATGAAGCATTTTCATGCCATCAAGGACGAATATTCCCTATATTGGTGAATATTTAGATAAACAAATCTTACTTACCTTTGTGACAAACAGATGCTTCTAATTGCAAGCTAACTGGTGTGCAATGTATATAAATCCTCAGGAAACATATAGGAAATTATGCTATAAATTAATTTTATTTTATTGCACAAATTAAAATAAAAGCTCATCGAGCTGCTCCATCATCATAACACTTGACAACATTTTTGCATAAAATATCAAGCAACAGTGAAAAATTATCTACTAATAGATTATACGAATTTGATTATAGCAATAAATTACACCTGCTATGTCTCTCATGCGTGACAATTTTCCATATGTATGTAGTAGTATGCGTTCTAAATCTGACAGGGGTTAAAAGATAAAAAAAGATTGGCCGGGCTAATGTAATG